TCAAATGCTGCCCAACATTTAATCCAAACCAGTTATATAGCATAGCAAATGAAAGAGTAATTAAACTGTTGGATTATAGCTAGAGAACTCAGGGTTGAGTCCAGACCTACTTATGAAAATAAGGCCGGTCACTCCCTCTTGGTCTCAGCCAGGTGTCTCCAAACTTGACAACTTTAAGACTTGTGGACTTCAACTCCCAGAATTTTTCACCCAGCTAAGCTATACCACTTAGTCACACGTATTATTATTATTATTATTATTTAATATTTTTATTAAGTACAAAGAAAAAAAGGATTAAAAACATTGAACATGGTAAATCGTCTTTGACTGACATCACAGTCCATATTGTACATTAATTACATATAATATACCTATATACAACTATACATTTCTAGTCTCTATCTCAGTTTATCTCTTTACCACTTAGTCACACTTCTTATTGCAATCCTATAAAGAGGATTTTCTGGAGGAAAAATGGTATACAAATCTAACACAGAAGCCACCATTCCTGGCACTGATTCTGTGAATCTATAGTTGGTACAATAGTAGTAGACAGCCAACTTACAGCACTGTGTAAAGAAGAGGTATGCTGTGTTTCTCAGTTTTTTCACTGAATGATGTTGTGTAAAGTGAAGTTTTGCCATGTCGATACTATCAAAGCAAACATTATTTATCACATTTATTTTTATTTATGCATTAAACACTTTTATATGGCCATTCAACTCACAGTGATTCCAAGCAGCTTACAACATTATTATTATTTATAGTTGAAGTCCTTGGTTCAGTAAGAATAGTTTGGGAATTAGTTTACAATAACTTTATCTAAGCAGAGGTTCTGCTGTACAGCTTTATAAATCATACGTTTCTTTCAAATTGAAACACCCTTCTGCATAAAAATACCTTCAAAGAAGTTCTTGCCTCACATTTAGAGCAATAAGTGCTAGTTGTAGTTTAGTAAAACTACCAGAAGCCTTAATATCTTGGTATCAAAAGCAATTTTCTCAGCCATTTTGAATTTTTCTTTCCCTTTTGACAAGAAACAAAATGCTCCATTTTGTCTGTGAAATGATGAGCATACTGTTTATCTAGTCTCTCTATCACTAGAGGTTAATTCCAATAACCACTGTGGTAAAAAGAATGCAGTCATGGGAACTGAGTATGTCACAGAGCAAAATAAAAAAAATGCAGTCAAGGAAAATTTAAATTAAAATCTACTGTTAAGAAAATGTAAAGTACTTTTAACTGTAGCTTATCTGAATTCATGTTGGAATCCATCTCATTCAAGTTGAATGAATGATGGCACGGCAACTGAAGAAATAAAAGCTAAGGATGAAGGCCTTTCTAAATAATCATGTGATTGCTTTGGAGGATTGCTTCACCATAACCCTGCCCTCTTACTGGATCATGCCCTGGGACACCTACATTGGCTGTCACTGTATTGTACTATTTGGTCTATAGTATCAAACAATAATTTGTATAGCACAAGGCCAGGATATCTTGAGGAACATTTCTCAAGATATGCTCAATTTATGCAAACTGTAAAATCCATAAAGGAATTAATCTCCTAAATCAGATTAGCTTTGACAATGTCTTTGGAATTCAGTCCCATTCACTGGTGGTTAATATATTTCCTTCCTGCATAGCAGTTATGTAAGTTTGAAAATTTGCCCTGCTTTGGGAATTCAATCCATGCTTTTTTAGTTGATCCTTGTTCTACATATAATAATTGAGACCATGTTTTAATGTTTGGTTTTTAAACTATGTTGTGGAACTGTTGTGTATGCCACCTGGATGCAGTAGTTGAAAAGCAGCCTTGTAATACTGTAAGTAAATACAATAAAAATAAAAAATTGTATATTTTTGTGGTAGACAGAAATGTGTTGCATAGCATTTTTGATAGTGATAAAGGTGAATTTCATGTATTTGTTTGCAAAGTGCCTGTTTCACTGTACAAGAGTTACATTACAAAGAATACAATCCACAAGTTAAATGGATATGTTAGCACTATAATTTTTTGTCAGAGCATTTCAACATATTATTTTAATGTCATTTGTGTCTCATTATTCAAACTAATCGCATTAGAGGAACCCCATACAATATATAACACATATATTGCTATTCATTATAATGACATCTTTGTTCTTTTGAAAGGTCCTGTTTGACTAAGACAAAAAGGGCTAAAATATAGTGTTATGAGTCATTAAATAACTTGAATATGCTGAAAAAGTTTAATCTGGTACTAAATAATGAGAGAAATTACAGAATGGGTGGTTTTTGTGGCTGATATTTTTCTAATGTAAGTGATTGTTGGCCAAAAAAAGGAATTTTTTGTAATAGCATTACATAATGATAGAATGGTAGGAATAGGTGCCTATAGAAGGCCATTGAAATATTCAACATGTATTTTTGATATAAAATTCTACAACAAATACAAAGAAACAGCTGGTGAAATATTAGGTCTATATTTGATTTGGAATCCAGAAGAGAGTCATGAAGCCTCTAATTCAACTATTTCTAAAATATGGTACTTTCATTGTTCTGAATTATTTCTTAAAGCCTTTTGGCACTCTTATTATATGTACATCTTAGAGGAAAATAACTTATTACAATGGGCTACATAATATGAAATAGCCTTAAGTGATTTAGTATAACAGATGTGTTTCTCTGGGAATTTCACAGCAGTCTGCTTAAAGTAAGAGGAAAACCTCCTTTGTTACTTTTCTTAATTTTTTTTCTGGGTAGAAATTGTTATAGCATAAATCATCTTCAGGCCAATTTAACATAAAATTCAGTGTAATGCAAAGTGTTAGAAGTTTGTGCAATTTCATCATTTCAACCATCTTAAGAAAACAGTTCAGTTTTAAAAAGTGTGGAGTCCTTGCACATAATGACATCTATAGAACATAGAATAAACCTTTTTCCTGGGACATAGAATAACAGAATTGGAAATATCCTTGGAGGTCAAACTAAGATCTTGGGATTCTGAGCAGAATTAACATTTTGTTTCCCTGGAAGCAAACTGTTGCTGCTTAATTACCAGATGTGGATCAATAATACTAGCTCTGCTTAGAAGAAAAAGGAATTAATCATTGATGTTAGTTTAAACTTTTTTGAGGTAGGTTTCCTTAAAAAATGCCAAAATACTGGGCAGAGTGCATTATTATAGCTAGAAACAACTGGGAATCAAAGAGGGTGTTTTGGAGGGGGAAGGGGGTGTCCCTATTTACCCTGTGTTATTTCCAGATAATCTTCAAGAGCCACCCATAAAGGTTGCAGTGCAGTGCAGTGCAGCTTTGAGACACTATAGCCCCAGTGAAGGATTAAAGATTAGAGTGCAAACGTTTGACCAGATTAGAGTGCAAACATTTGATCAGTTTTTATCAAAACTATCATGCTGATGTTATGTGGCTGTCCAATACTAATACTGGATCCAGAAAAATTCTTAGATTACAAATCTGATTTTTAAAAGAAAGTGCCACACAATCCAAAATAGCTTTTTATCTCCCAAATCTTAAAATTCAGCTTTTGGAAAACATAAAAGCTCCATTTTTTTTTCAGAGTTTAACTTTACTTTGTTCTCCCTGTCTAGTACTTTACAGATTGGAAATATCCAATACTGCGTTTTGAGGAGAAGAGAAATATAAGCTAAATTTCACCAATATATTAAAAAATATTATTGATTTTTTTTCTTTTTATGATCTTGTAATCCCTTGCTTTGGGGTGTGGTCAGAGTGACTGAATGGGGCTGAGCATTTACTGGCTGGATGCCCTTCCTGAGGCCTATGCAGAGTTTGCAGCAGATATTTTCTCTTTGGGCCCTGATAGAAAAACATCTGTTGCTGCCTAGAATTGAACTCTCAACCTTCTCGGGGTGGTGAGAGTCTTCACCTTTATGCCACCACGCCACCCGAAAAATATGATTGAATAGTATCAATATATTGATAGCAGATTGTTGCTGATTAATGATGGATAATTGGAATAACTTACATCCTGCAATGGTACCTTTACTATTATTAAACAGCATCTGCCTATCCCAGGTCTTTGGAAAGGATTTGATAATAGACAAAAAAGCTAAATCAAGTCTAAACATTTGATATTCTATCATATAATTAGTCTCCTCATTTCAAGTTCTAAAATAGCAGGATGAAAAATAAGGCAGAAATGTTTATAAATTCTCATTAATATAGCAAATAATAAATTAGAGAATGATCTGAAGACAAAATGCCGCTTTGTTAGTCTAAATTGAACTGAGACTGATAAAGAGAGGAGATTGTTGGAAGTTTCCTATATAAACTGCGCAAAGTATCTTCATAGAATTATGGTTATGAGCAAAATGGACTGCTTAATTTCTTCAAGGAAACATCCCCCGAACAGAAGGAACTTCTGGTTTAATTACAATATTAGATAATCCTTTTATTTTTAGCTCTGAGTAGCCTACTTCCAAAGGCTACACACTTTCTATAGCAAAACATTTGTAGCACATTAACAATTGATCATTTTTTTAATTATAGAAGGGCGACCTCATTATATGAGAACGAGCTGCCATAAGAAAGGGGAGAAAAGGCCAAAAAAAAAAAAAAAACACTTCTTCTAACAAACTTAAAACCATTTCTGAAAGGGAATTCTTAGCCCATGTTTTTCAAGCTTGCTGATCAAGCAATGCTTGATTAAAATGCCTTTGAAATATTTTATTTTTATAAACTGGCAGGATTAGTTTTCAGTGTCTCCCAAATGGAGAAGATAGGCCAGTTGTTCTTTCACCAGAAAGCTGACCGGTGCCATAGAGTAGGTGATAGAGCGGTCATTCTGCCAAAGAAATACATGTTAAAGCTTTCCTTTTGGCCTTGGAGCTTCAGCAGTCCAACTTCCTCCTGTCCCTGTATAATAAGTGGTGAGGAAGCTTCTGTGTGATTTCCCTCATGCCTGAACATGGTGGAGGAATTGGTTGACTAGCCCAACTGACGCTGTCTTCTTTGTTGGTTTGCTTGTTTGTTTTGCAGCGACTGACCTTGAGACATGTGAACAGTAACCAGTGTCTGGACGAGCCCTCGGAGGATGACAAAATGGTTCCTACCATGAAAGACTGCAGCGAAAGCCGATCCCAGCAGTGGCTGCTACGTAACATGACCTTGGGTGCCTAAAGCCACGACAGACTTCACGTCCTTCCTCGGACCTTGGAAGGGTCTAACCTGCTCACACTTCACACAGAAGGATGTTCTTCTTCCCTTGTGGTCGGTGAAGAGAAAGGGTTTGGATGCTTGATTCAAAGCCCCACATGCGAGAAAAACAACTTTTTTTTTAACGGCTTAAAAGCATGGTTGCACTTTTTTCTCTCTCTCTGATTTTTTTTTTTTTTACAAGTCAGCTGAACACACGGATGCTTTACCCACCCTGGCATATACAGTATTATGAAGACACTGCAGTTTTGAGAAAAGAAGACTCCGGAAAAGGGTTACAAAGCGAAATTGCAAGAGGGTGGGAAGTGGCTTGCTGTGGGTTCTGTCCTGTAATATTGCTTGAAAGTGACAATGTTAAATGCCTTATGAAGCTCACTTGCATTGTGAAAGATGGTAACATTTGTTTTCCTCAGTTGATGTACTTGTACCAGTCCTTCATGGTGACAAAGGAAGAATCCATTATTGATCTACTGCCAACCCCATTACCTATGAATAGCCCAGCTGAAAAGATTTCTCAGCAGTAAATTTCTGTATATATTGGATGTTTTTCATGTATAGTGTCGGGGGGGGGGGGGAAGTGGCATTTCTGTTCCTGAAACCTCTGTTAAAATCCACAGAACAGGATATGCCAGTACTTGGATTGTGAAAATCAAATTCACGGCCAAGGGAAGCGTAAAGAAATGGGATTGATGATATCCACCAATGCCCTTGGCAAAATATAAGTCATTACAAGCATTGTAACACATTAGGCCAACTTCTGTAGTCTTACATTAACAATTAATATAAAGGACAGCGAGAAATTTTACCTAAATCACACGAGATGCAGATAGAAGAACAGGTTTATGAGTAGACACAAGCAGATTTCAAGTTGAGTTTGGTTGCAATAGCTACTCCTTTTTTGTTCTACCAAATGTATTTGTTTTCTAAAGATTCTTGGTGCGTAGGCATAAATACCAGTAGGTCTAGCCTGAAAATGTCAACAATGCAATGCTGCCCCTTAATAATTATTAAGATATTATGATGAAGATGTATAAGTCTTCAAAACATAGCAAGTTGAACTTTTAGTATATGATAGCACCGAGTTCAGGACTAATTAAAAACTTGTCTAATAAACTTGTCTGTTTCATATATGGAGGACATGGGATAAGATACAACTATCTCTGTAAACAGTATTTTATTTTTTTAAAGGGAAGGGGGGTTTTTTTTGTCACATCTCTCTATGCCAGGATGCAAGTAGGAACAAGGTTTATCCAACATTGGAGTCTGTATAGTTCTAGCGATGATTATTGGGTCAGAAAGTATATAAAATGTACTCATTTTTTACCTGGATTTAATTTATTGCAGTGTGTTTTATCAACCCCAGGGCCATGCCAAAGTTTTTGTGAATTATGCTATATTGGGTCGTATGGACTGATCGATTCTACACCGCAATACTGAGAAATTGAAACAACTTCTTTCAAGTTTCATTCTGGCATCTTGAGAAAATGAGATGGCTCTTCCTGCAGATGAGACTCCCTACATCAGTGTTTCCCAAACTTGACAATTTTAAGGCATGTGGACTTCAACTCCCAGAATTCCACAGCCAGCGTTGCTGGCTGTGGAATTCTAGGAGTTGAAGTCCTCATGCCTTAAAATTGTCAAGTTTGGGAAACACTGCCCTACATGATACTGCCTTTACGTTGTTATCACCCAACTGTTGATTTTGAATGTGCTCATTTGTCTGCTTTTTCTATCCCAGAAGAGTTCTTCATGAGTACTATATAAGTATGCTAGGAAAACGTCCATATTTCCGCAGGATCAGATGCAAAATAACATAAAAATATCAGCCTGGAATCCAAATCGGAGAGCCAGAGGGGCCGAGGCAAGTAGCATTCCTTGAAGAAGGGGAATGGTCTGATCAGCAGAGGCAGGCAAACAGAAGATGTATTCAAGGATGCAGGTAGTCCTTGACTTATGATCACAGTTGGGACCAGATTTCCAGTTGTAAGTTGAGTTGTCCATGTGGTTGGACCCAATTTGATGACTTTTTTTTTGTGTGTGCAGAGTTTAGGCAAATCACTGTAGTTGTTAAGGGAATCTGTAGTCACTGAGTGATCGCCACAGTCCTAAATATGAACCCATTTGGTTTTGCCATGACTGGGGGGGGGGGGGAAGAGACATTTTACAACACCCAGAATTGCTTTACAGGCCATAAAACACTTGCTATTGTAATTTTTAAAAAGGTTGCTAAGTGACTGATCATAATCTGGAGACTGCCTGTAAACTGATGTTAGCCAGATCTTTGACAAGTAACGCAGCCCTTTTAACTAAAGAGTACATGATCTCATTTGAAGTGTTTATTGCTTACCTGGGTCTACAACATTCCAGGTTTCCAGGTGACACTTGGACAGGCTGGCTGTGGTTTCTGTACTGCCTATGTTAGGGGGACACTGAGAAGCAGCAGAGTTTAGGTTATCCTGCAGCTTACCTTTTTGATACTCACCTGCCAAATTCACTGATAACACGGCAGCAGGCTTTGTTCTGGAGAAGAGAGCATTACTGTTCTCCCTCATAGGTTTTTATCCCACAATCTGAGTAACAGAAAATCTCCTTTTGCATCCCACAGCAACTCTGGCAGCCATGACCCTTGGAAGATCAGTAAACATTCAGGGAATCATACTGCTCCAAATCCATCAAGTAAAGGGTTTTGTTCAAGCTCCTGTAAGAGCAAGCTTAAATACAGGGGGGGGGTCTGACTTATTTTCGAATAAGAACATAAAAAGGAAGTTAATCCAGTGTAAGGAGTCATGAGCATAAGTCCTATACATAAAAAATTATAAAAACAAATTATTCCTGAAGAAACGTGGCTTGCGCTAAACAGTGAGGAAGGTTACTGCAAAGTTAGTTGAGGCTAATTATCTTATTTTTAAACACTTAAGAAGAGGGTCCAATATAAGTGATGCTTTTTATTAAGTTATTAATAGGGTAACATTAAAATGTAATAAAAGCATTTGTTTCCCTCAAATGAAATCTTCCAAAGGTTGGGTTGGAAGGGGGTCTTTGAAAGTTCATATGCAAAGTTTGAGAGACGGGCAGTGGAACCATCAGATGATGGTTTTTTAGGGGCTGAATCCCAACGCATTTCAATCCTGTGCCAGGATTTTGGCTTAAGGGAAGTAGTAGCAGTCTGATGACTAGAAGCAGAATTGAGACCATAAGTTCTGCTTTCACTTAACCCTACTGCTAATTCCAATTAAATGCCTCCCTGGAGCACCTCATGGACTGCCACATCAAATATCTACTTCATCCCGTCTTTTTTAGTGAGCAAACAATAGGCCATGGAGGATATGCCCCAGCATTATCATTATATTGCTAAACTGTTATGGCTAAAATCAAAGTTTTAATAAATAGTTTTACAGGATTGTACATTAGCTTGTGGTGTCCTCTCTCTGTGTTCTGTAGATCAATAAAATGTATGCTGTTCCTCATTTGAATGGCATTGATTACTCACTTTTTAAAGTCGCTTTATGATATCAGCAGTTGAGTTCAAGTTTAAACATTGTTTTTTTTAAAAAAAATTAAGTCAGGTTGCCTTTTCTCTCCCTGTGTATAGATTAGAAACATCTTAATTTCATAGAAATGTGCCGAGGGACAATAGGATAAATATGAAAAATGACTGAGTATAAATACCTAAAAACAAGAACACTATTTAAGAAAAGGTAAAACTTAAGGAATTTCTTGAGGAGGGAAAGATAGATATATAAAGTTTGAGCCAATGGAAATAAGTTCATTTTGTCTTCAGAGGCTGCTTCTGGACTGTTGAATCCAAGAACAGTATTTTTATCTAACAACAGGCAAGCAAAATAGCCTTTTAAAAGGTGATTAATACTGTACTGATATCGATATAGTCCAGTTTTTTTACTTGAAATTAATGAGATCATATCTGATCATATAAATTTTAGTTGCATCTCATTTGTAGATGCTAAATACAGTCTCAAATGAGGCATATATTAGTGAGGGTGCTTAAGTGTAAAGCTATGAGTTAGGCTGAAATGATTTAGGAAAGAAATTTGAAATAAATTTTATAATGTTACTGTCTTCTAAATCCTACTGCACCATTATAAACTAGATAAACAAACACAATTTCAATAGGAAATCAGGTTTGCAATTAACTATTGTAATAGCAACATCTACACACATGCGCACACGGACCCTCTCCCACCTGTATTTTCCATTTATGGATAAATTTAAAAGTATGCTGCTATTACTGTATGAATGCATCTGGTAAGATTCCACCACATTAAAATGCTACTAAATATATTGCTATTGTTTCATTTCAAGATGTTGACTGTGCATCAGCAAAATGTTTTAGATTATGTGAATTAGTGTAAAAGTATTTTCAAACACAGCTATATTTCCGAAGACTCACTTTCATTTTTTCAAATAGACTAAAGTTGCCATTTGTCCCTTAAATGTTCAGGATAGCTGGGCCATTGATGTTCCAAACCTATACATGATAACAAACTTAAATTTGGCCGAAATATGCATGCTGAGGGGTTTATAGCCAGTCCCACCTTCTGATTGATAATGCTTCTGTGATGTGCAAAATTACAAAATTTATCGCATCCCTGTCTCTTTAAATGCACGTGGAAATATCTGAAGCATACACCCAAGAGGCATAATATGTGAGGAGGTCCTTTAAAATGGCCACTGAGGGTTTTTTTAAAAAAATATACTTGATCATCCAATTTAGAGGGAGTATCCATTGGAAAACTTCCTACATTGCGTACTAGGGACACTACATGTTACAATTCTAAGAGTGGACTGTGTTCAAGAATTACCAATTTCAAATGTAATCATTATTAAATGTTAACTCTGCTGTAAATTTTCAATATTTATACATTTTGTAGAAATAAAATATGCCAGTTTAGTTTTATTCTTCTGGGTATTGTCGTTCTTAAGGGCATGAAATTAAGTTTTGCTCCCTGTCTCACACTTGTACAGTAAGAATTTTACATCAGTGTTTCCCCAGTATGTTGGCTGGGAATTTCTGGGAATTATAGTCTACACATCTTAAAGTTGCTTAAGTTGAGAAGCCCTGGTCTATACCCACATATGTATGTGTGTAAAGTATCTGTTAATGGGCAAAAAAATACCAGTTGCATAATCTAGCATTATGTGTATACACTTTGTGTGGTTGGGTGTATGCAGACAGTACTATAAATACATTGAGCGAGTCCTGCTGCCATATATTTTCAGAGCAACATATGTGAAATCTTTTTAAAGAGATTAAATATTGTTCAGACACTATAAATCAAGACTATTTGCAAAGGCAATAATCACTGCATTGCAATGACAAACACTTATACCTTCTTAACAAAATTATTTTTTCTTCCTCACATTTATATTAGATAGTCCTTCTTGCATCCTACTACTAGTGGACATAAAAAATAAAATATCAGGCTTATAATTCCATGATTCTGAAGTTATAATCATGACGTTTCGCTAAGGTGTTATTTAAATTAAAATAGATTTATAGACTTGGAAGGGCCATCTAGATCAGGGCTTTTCAACCTTTTTACCGATTGTACCACTTTTAGGATATGGCAATATTCGAGTACCACCTAGCAAGGTGTCAAAAACTTGATTTAAAAAAAAAACCTGTTCAAAGTTGCAATTGCACTGAAATGACTTATGACCATTTTTCACACTTATGACCATTGCAGCATGCCCAGGGTCATGTGATTTATGTTTGGATGCTTGGCAACTGATTCATATTTATAATGGTCACAGTGTTCCAGGGTCATGTGATCTCCTGCAACCTTTTAACAAGCAAAGTCAATGGCAGAGCTGCTGGTGGCCAAGTGCTAAGGCGGGACTTCCTTTCCTCCCTACCTCTCTTTTTCTCATTCCCATCTCCTTCTGAAGGAAGAATTTGAAAACCCCCTCCCCATATTTTCCCTCTTCCATATATTGATCAAACAAGGAAAGGCCTCCAGAGACAGAAAAGACAAGCTGCTGTGTGAATTAGCTTAAAAAGGCACATTCCCCTTTAAGAATTAGCTACTAGCTAGAAAGGAAAGTAAGGAGTGCAACCGGCACTTAAGGAAGAAAAAAAAAATGTAAGTACTGGCTGCCGGCTAAGGCAACCTCCCCAAATGGCTCCATTCATAAGTAAAGGAATGCTACAGGCAAAATCCATTCAGGAGAAAAATACTTCAAAATCCCTTGCAGCAAAACTTACAGCTAACAACAGCAGAGCAATAGAAGCTAACACCATCAGCCAAATAGAAATTGCCAAACACTCCTTAAGAACACAAAGCCCTCATTGCACAAATCCCAGAATTTCAAAGTCACAAAAGTACATAAGAATCCTTCCACTCTCCATCTCCTTCCCTCCTCTGTGCCTCACCTCCAGCCACTGCTGCCTTTTTTCATTCCTCTTGGAGGGTTACCCTCCCTCACTGCATTTCTTGCCTGTTTGCTGCTGCCAACACAGGTGGTTGCCACAGCAGTTGTAGATCGGCTCATGGCCAGCCTGCTTGATCTCCTCTCCCCCCACCCTCCCCCTCCTTCTTCCCCTTCGGTGCAGCTGACTCTGCCTCCTTTCAAGGCTTCTGCTTTTTTCTCTCTCTCCCTCTCCTGCCCAAACTGCCTCCTTTTATAGGCTCTCCTGTCTACGCCCCCCTCCTCCTTTCCCATAGGGGAGGGTGAGCCGGAAGTGAGCCTGGGGCCTTTGCAGCTCTAGAGGACTCTCTCACTGTAAGCCCTTGCCTGTGCTGGCTCTTTCCCTCCCCCACTGCAGTTGGCCAGGCAGGGCTGCGTACTACCTGCCACTCATTAATGTACCACAAGTGGTACGCGTACCACCGATTGAAAAGCCCTGATCTAGATCAACTCTGTTGTAAGTGTAGAAAACTAAATTAAAGCAATCATGACATTTGTCTATCTAGTCCATGGATGTCAAACTTGATCACATCACGTGGTGTATCGTGACTTTTCTGCCTTTGCGGAGCCAGGGTGGGCGTGGCCTGCACTTGACGCATCTGGCCTGCGGGCCGCCAGTTTGACATCCCTGGTCTATTCTCTGTTTGCCTATGCTTAGTGAAGAAAAGCCCACCACCTCTTTGACTAATTGTTCCACTCTTTGATTTGGAAGATTTCCCTAACCTTCCAAATTTGGCTTCCTGTAAATTACCAAAGTTTCATTTTCTGCGCTCAGGATAGAAAATGTATCTTGACCTTGTTTTGTTTGATGTCCTTTTATGCATTTGAAGAGTGCTTTGCTTTTCTGTCCCAATTTTCTTTTTTCCAGGCTAGACATTCTTAGTTCCTGCTGTTCTCTTCAGGCCCCTGATAATCTACATGCTCTTCTCTGAGGCTGTTTAATTTCTCTGAATGTGTTTAGTGTCCAAAACTAGTTATCCTACTCAAGATGGTGCTTTGATCAACACAGAAAAGAAAGGAACTATTGCATCCCATGGCCTATTGCATCCTATGTTTTAATTGATGCAGCCTAAACAATTTCCGCTGCTGTATTACATTGCTAATCATATTTAGTTGGCTTCTCTTTCTACATGTTTTCAAAGGTATTCATGGATATGAATATCTTCCAAATGTAATGATGTTTAGATTGTTTCCAAACCAAGTATCCTACATCCAATTCCCAACATTTGATTTTTGTTCTCTAAACTAAAAAGAACTTATCCCAATTAGACTCCCTTATTATTTTCAACCAATTTATCTTAGCCAAAAACTCTTGAACTGTACTTGTCTTCCTAAGCATTATCTATCCCACCTAATTTTGTATCATGTAAAGGTCTATTAAGCATTCCATTCTGTTATTCATCCAAAGCAATAATAAAAGTGAAAAAGTGAAGGACTGATTTTCTTACCTTCCACTCAACACTTCTTTCCAATGTGATGAAGAACCATGAATAAACACTCATTGAGTATGATTTTTCTAAGGCCAGCAGGCATCCACTTATCATCCAGCCTGCAGTGAATCCTCTTGATTAACGAACACAATTGAGTATTTTACCAAATGTCTTTTTGAAACCAAGCTATGCTTACAGTTTTTCCACAAAATGCTGAAGTTATTTTATTTTTTTTAAAAATGAGATTATGTTTAGCTTAATGTGATTCTTAATAAATCCATACCGTTTGTCCTAAAATTATGGCATAGTTTTCAAGAGGCTTATAGATTAATTGCTTTATGATCTGTAGAATCTTCCCAGGCATCCATCGATCTGGACTTTCTTGGTCTTACCACTTTTTTTTCTCTCCTCTCCTCTCTTTTCCTTTCCACTCTCCTCTCCTTTCCCCTCCCCTCTCCTTTCCTTTCCTCTCTCCTATCCTCTCCTTTCCTCTCTCCTCTCCTTTCCCCTCCCCTCCCCTTTCCTTTCCTTTCCTTTCCTTTCCTTTCCTCTCTCCTCTCCTCTCCTCTCCTCTCCTTTCCTCTCTCCTCTCCTCTCCTCTCCTTTCCTCTCCCCTCTCCTTTCCTTTCCTTTCCTTTCCTCTCCTCTCTCCTCTCCTCTCCTTTCCTCTCTCCTCTCCTTTCCTCTCTCCTCTCCTCCTCCTCCTCCTCTCCTCCTCCTCCTCCTTTCCTTTCCTTTCCTTTCCTCTCCTCTCCTCCTTTCCTCTCCTTTCCTCTCTCTCTCCCTCCTCCTTTCCTCCTTTCCTCTCCTCTCTCTTCCTTTCCTCCTCTCCTCTCTCTCCTTTCCTTTCTTCTCTCCTTTCCTTCTCTCCTCCTTTCCTCTCCCTTCCCCTTCTCTCTCCCCTTTCCTTTCCTTTCCTTCCTCCTCTCCTCTCTCCCTCTCTCTCTCCTTTTTCCCTTTCTTTCCTTCTCTCTTTCCTTTCCTCTCCTCCTCTCCTCTTCCTCCTCCCTTCCTCTCTCCTCTCTCTCTCCTTTCCTCTCCCCTCTCCTTTCCTTTTCTCTCCTCTCTCCTCTCCTCTCCTTTCCTCTCTCCTCTCCTCTCCTTTCCTCTCTCCTCTCCTCTCCTCTCCTCTCCTTTCCTCCCCTTTCCTTTCCTTTCCTTTCCTCTCCTCTCTCCTCTCCTCTCCTTTCCTCTCTCCTCTCCTCTCCTTTCCTCTCTCCTCTCCTTTCCCCTCCCCTCCCCTCCCCTTTCCTTTCCTTTCCTTTCCTTTCCTCTCTCCTCTCCTCTCCTTTCCTCTCTCCTCTCCTCTCCTCTCCTTTCCTCTCCCCTCCTTTCCTTTCCTTTCCTCTCTCCTCTCCTCTCCTTTCCTCTCTCCTCTCCTTTCCTTTCCTTTCCTTTCCTTTCCTCTCCCTTCTCCTCTCCTCTCCTTTCCTTTCCTTTCTTTTCCTTTGTGACATCTGCTGTCCTCCCATAATCTGGTACTGATGTGTTAAATTGTGGGGGCAATCTGGTTACGGTTATCTCAAAAAAAAGCTCAGCCCAAGCAGTAAGACACCTAGTCCCCAGCAATAAAGAAACCTTTTTGAAATTGATGTGGTTCTTGCTTCCTGGTCTTGACAGCTACTTGACCCTTTCATTCCCAAGGACTTTTCAATGATACAATATTCAGTAAAGGTTTGACCAGAGCAACAGCAAGTTCCTTCATTACTGTGAGCTCCTCACATTCTGAAGAAACCCTCTTGGATGGCTGTATCATCCATGATCAATCTCATTATTTCTAAGCTTTCATTTTTCTAAGAACCTTTTACAATATTGAAATATTAGTATGTGTTCTTCTTGGGTCACCTGTTCCTCTTTCCATCTCTGATTTGTTATTTTATGTCCTCGCTAAGCTTACTAGTTGTTTTGTATAGTTACATTGGCTTTTTATGCTCTTTGCCATTTCCCCCCTTATTAGAATTGTTTATAATGACACTTTTAATAGTACTTTAAAGAACTCCCACCCATATTCTGATTCTTTTAAGCATATTGTATCTTTCAGCTCCAGGATTCTAATTTT